AGCATAGTGTTTAATTGTCACGGGGGTGCTACGCACACCTGTCTGCTTCTTGCATCTGATTGAAACATGCCCAGCGAGTCCACCGTGTGCTCTAGGGAGCTCCTCTTTGTCAGGTTACAGCAATGTCCACCTCTCACCGCCTCATCCAGAATGTAGATTTTCACATTTGTTTTTAAGGAGAGATACTGGAATTTATTAACAACACTTTTCAACATCTGCTGAGATAATCACATGGTTTTTTGCCTTTTGTTGATGAACTTTAGAGATTTCCAAATTCCTTCATCTTTGGTTACGGTTTTCTTTTATTTATACACAACTTCATTTATTCAATGTATCATCTTTGAGCACTTACTAGGTGCCAGGCAGTGTCCCAGGCACTGAGGAGGACAGAGTCGTGAACGACAGAAACATACATACATGTTCCCGTCCTGGCAGGCGCGTGTCGTGCGCATGAGGCCACCATCCGGTTGCGAGTTCAGCCCTGTGGATGCCACTAGATGCGCTTTACTATTTATTCATGATTTTCCAACCTAGGCACACGGTTTTCTTCTTTTCCCTTTTTCTCCTGTCCTCCTCTTCCTCAGCACTGGTGCTAGGGTGACGCCAGTGCCACGCAGGAAGTGGCTCAGGCAGCTGAAGCCCCGTGGGTGGGGTGCTTATCTCCTGCTTGCTTGGGAGTGCCCGCCCGCACTTCCATCTGGGCACCCACATTTTTTTTTAGGGAGGATCTAGGACCACTTTAGAGTTTCTTTTGTTGTTATTGGTTGCTCGAGGTTATTTTAAAAATCAAACTTGGTAATACAAATGCAGACGCTCACTTTTCAGGATCTTTACGTTATCGCCGACATTGTGACATTTCACAGTGAAACGCCCACGCTGCCCTCGCTCTGGGTACCCTGCGGCACTCTCCCCGCAGAACCCGGGTCACTCCTTGTTTGCCCTGCCGTTATGCTCCCCTAACCCCACTGGGGATGTGTCTTCCAGGGTTATCATTTTCTCTCCTGCTTTCCATTTTCCTGGTGATCTCGTTAACTTTATATTCCAACCCTTTACTTAACAGTGCTGCTATGTTTATTTTTTAAGCGCTCTTTTAAAATTTTTCTGGATGTTCCTTTTTACACGGAATCCTTCCCTTGTTTTATGCGTGGAACATCTTTTTCTTTTCTGAGGATTTCACTCTCATGCTCTTGAGGGATTTCTTCCGGGCCCCTCCTGGCCCTCCCACCTCTGGGTCCTTGCTCTGTGGTCATGTAAAACAGGAGAAGCCACGGTGCAGCCGGAAGCCCCGTGGAACGGTGATCCATGGGGATCCAGGTGGGGGCAGTAGGCAGGGCTGCCTCTTGGGGACCTGACCTCCAGCATCTTCAGGTCTTTCCTCTGGGACCAGTCACGTTCCGTGACAGCTGTCTGTGCGGCTCTTCCTGGGAAGAAGCCAAGTCCAGGGTCCAACGTCACTGTTTTGCACTTGGATCTCCATCCCTCCAGCATTACCGGCTGAACATCAGATGGCCCTGCCACCCTCACCTACTCTTCTTGTTGTTTAGAGACAGAGTATCACTCTGTCACCCAGGATGGAGCCCAGTAGCACGATCACAGCTCTCTGCAGCCCTGATTCTCTTGATTTTGCTAATGGCGTGTTTTGCCCCAGTGGTTGTTTTCACACGTGGCTAAATGCATCCATCTTTTCTTTTTATGGCTTCTGGATATTGAGGCTTGGTTCAAAAGGCCACTGCTACCCTATGGTTATAAACGAATTTGCCCAGTGTTTCCTCTGGTACTTTTATGGTTTCATTTTTTTACATTTAAACTTTTGACACATTCAAAGTTTGTCCTGGAACTCAGTAAAAGATGAGGCTACATTTTTTTTTTTCTAGATACCTACACAGTTTCCCAGCATGATTCATCGGAAAGTCCATCCTTTCCCCACGGATTTGAGATACCATTTTCATCCTACACCTAATGTCTGCAGGTATTTGGGTCAATCTCTGGAGTTTGTGTTTGGCTGTGCTGTCGTGTCTTATGTGGTGAGGTCCCTGCTGCTGTGGTAACTGAACTGTGGTAGGAACTCACACCTGCTGGGCTGAAGCTATCATGGCTATTCTTGCTTATTTTTCTTATTTTTTATTTATTTATTTTTTTTTTTGAGACAGAGTCTCGCTCTGTTGCTCCAGCTAGAGTGCCATGGCATCAGCCTAGCTCACAGCAACCTCAAACTCCTGGGCTCAAGCAATCCTGCCTTAGCCTCCTGAGTAGCTGGGACTACAGGCGTCCACCACCATGCCCGGCTAATTTTTTCTATATATTTTAGTTGGCCAATTAATTTTCTTGCTATTTTTAGTAGAGACGGGGTCTCACTCTTGCTCAGAGCTGGTCTCAAACTCCTGACCTTGAGTGATCTGCCTGCCTTGGCCTCCCAGAGTGCTAGGATTACAGGCATGAGTCACCGCGCCTGGCCTGATTTTTCCTTGATCTTTGACAAGTTTGCTGAATGGAAAGAGAAGACAAGCTTTTATTCTGATTATACTAAACTGCAAATGCCTTTGGGAGAACCGGCCATGCTGGTGAGTTCTCCTCTCCAAGAACACAGCATCTCTACACATTGTTCAAGTCTCTCTGTAATTTTTAGGGGGTGTTTTAAAGTTTCCCTCAAACAGGTTTTGTGTATTAAGTTTATTCCTGTTGTCAAGTGCAGACTGGCCTTTTCCATTTGTTTATCTTCCAGCCTGTTGTTTAATCGTACAGCCTACTGATTTCTGTGTGGCCACTGGTGCCCACTTCCCGACCCACCTGTGGATAGACCCCAGGCAGTCACCCTGGAGGGACCGAGACAGATAGCTGCACCGTCTCCAGTTGGTGCTGGCGTCTGTCTGGTGCCCCTGGGCTGCTCATTCATGTTTAAAGAGGGTTAGCACGAGGGCAGGCAGGCTCAACGGCTGCTCCAGTGGGCTCCCACTGCAGCTCAGAGCTGGCCTCCTCCTCTCTGTCCCTGTGGTCTCCACCTCATGTTGGCTGAGCTCTTCCCCAGTTTTCCATCCTGTGGTCCCTGCCATATTAAGAGCCTGTGGTCACCTCGGCAGGACTGTCAGGAAGCACAGTGCCCATGGCTGGAGCTCACCCTCCTATTTCAGGCTGGACACTGGGGGCCGGTCTCCTCCTTGGCCTTAGCCCAGGCCATTGCATGCTGGAAGCACGTGGCCTGGCCAACCCAGGCCACTGAACTCTGGAAGCACGTGTCTGGCGCCACATGGCACAGACAAGCTCATCTCTCCTGGGCTCAGGCTGGGAAGGGGGAGGGACAAACGAGTTATGTTAGCCAGGTCAAGGGCTCCCTGGGAGGTGACACCTGAGACGGGACTGTGGGGAGATCTGGAGAAGAGTTTCCCATGCCAAGGGGGTGACAAGGTTAACAAAGAGGACAAGCACCATGTAGGATAAGGCCTGAGACAGGGTAACCCAGTGCCTCCCTTAGGACCACAGCCAGCAGCTGACATCCCCACCACAGGCTGGAGAGCAGAGAGGGAGGCTGCAGAGGAACTCCACACGGGGGACCAATGCCCACGGATGCCAATTCCCTGTCGTCAGACCAGAAATCTGCAAGTCAGCAGACACACATCAATGCCCCCTTCCCACCCTCAGCCACTGGCCCCTCCCCTCTACTGCCCACCAGCCCACTGGGTCCTTCATCCCCACTCTCCTGCCTCCCAGCTTGTCCTCCACTCCATTACCCGGGTGTAGCCCCCAGACCATCTCTTAGGGCTGCAAACATGGCCCAACTGCCCCTGCCTAAACGCCATGGGGTCGCTGCATGCCTGCAGAGCATGGGTCCAAGGCATCCCTATATCCCTGCCCCTTGGCCACGGCCCTGCAGCTCTCCCCTACCCCTGCCCAGAATGGAAGCCCTGTACCCATCCCTCTTCCTGAGCAGCCCTCCCCCTGACAGGTGCCGTGTGTGCAGAGTCTGGATTGGCTATCGTGACATGCAGACATCACAAAAGCTGTGGGGTCTGCTGATGGGGTCTCTACTGGTGTCCCCAGCACTCGACACCCTTGTAGGGGCTTAAAGGCATTTGGGCCTGAAGGACGTGACTGGGAAGGCACAAGGTGGCTGTGGCAGGCAGCTCTGGGAGCCCGCTTTCTTTTCCCACTACCTTTTTATGTAAATCTGTAAAACACATGCAGACAGGCACACACACCTGAGTGTGTGGCTCGACGCCTCCCCACACTGACCTGGCTGCAAGACCAACACCCAAAGCAAAAAACGCCAACCAGTGCCCAGGAGCCCTTGGGTTCAACTCGTCACAGCCCAAACCCATCTTTGAATCTCCCAAAAGTGGGACCACGCAGGTGGGAGTTGGGCTTCCTTTGCTCGTGCAGTGTCCCCTAGGGCGGCGGCAGCTTTGTCTGTCCCCTCTCATCACTGCTGTGGAGCAAGCTGACTGCTCACCGTCCAGTGACAGGTGGACAGGAAAGCTGCTTCCAGTTTGGGGCTGTCATAAGCAGAGCCCCTATGAGCGCTTTGGTCATGGCTTTCACCAACAAATCCTCCTCCTGACAACTAACCTACCTGGCTGGGAGGGCACTGTCCCTGCTGTGAGGGTCTGGTTCTCTGTCCCTCTGTGTGCCGCCTTCTATGGTGGGGGCTGTGAGCACTCTGACTGGGCCCAGGGGAGGGTTGAGGCACATGTGCCCTGCACCCACTTCCTGGCCTCAGGTGGCCCCTCTGCATGCCCAGCAGAGGCAGATGGCCCACAGGCCTAAGAGGCAAGAGAGATGCAGGTGCACCTCGGTGCCCATCCAGGGCCATGGGGCAGAGAGGCCACCAGGTCCAGTGTCTGCTTCTCATGAGTCCCTATGCAGCCTTCCCCTGAGGCCCAAGAGACCCCTTCTCTATACCCACCACAACCAGCCCACCTCAATGCCTGCTCCTGGGGTTTCCAGACAGGAGTCTCAAGTAGGGTGAAGAGGGGAGGGTGGCCTTGGCTGGGACTTCCTCTGCTTACCCAGTCCTGGGTCTGCAGTCCCTGCTGAGAGCTGCTCTCGCCACTGGGCTGGCCTGGGGTGGCTGTGAGGCCCAGTGGGGGAAAGGGCTGCCTGTGCTCTCGGGACAGCTGCGACTCTGGTGTCTTTCTCTGGGGAGGCAGCTTCTGGACATCCATCGCTACACCTAGCAGGCAGCCTGTCTGCACCTCTGGGACTCTGGGGGAAGGAGGACAAGGCAGGCGCCCTGGGTAGAGGGCGGAAGGGGGGGCACACAGGCACTGACAGTGAGCCCTGTGGCTGGCCCCTGGGGGCGGTGTGGTTATCCCAGCTCCCGCTGCCGCTCTTTTCCACTGGAGCCGCTCTCTGCCCCTGCCCTCCCCACCAGGCTGTCCACTCGGCCTCCCTCAGGGCTCCCTGGCCGACCAGCCCCTCGGCCCACACCGCGGGTACCTCTCAGAACCCTGTGGGGCTCGGCGCAGCGGTGCGCGGGCGAGCCAGAGGCCGGAGCTCTCCCTGCCTCACTGTTCCCGACCTCACCTCGACGCGGCCGGACCACGCCCCGCGGCCCCGGTGAACCCTTGGGGCCTGCCCTCTGCGGGGTCCGACCTGGGAGGGAGGGGGCACACGGGGTCCCGAAGCGGGGAGGGTCCGCTGTGGGCGCCAGGCCAGACGGGGAGCTTTAGGAGCCACTGCGCTCCAGGGAGACAGGGGGCGGAGTCTCGCCCGCGACTTCCGCTCAGGCAGGCCCCGCCCCGCTGGTTCCGCTTCCGGCTGCGCGGCGCCTGCGCCCTGCGTTCTGCCTCGCGGGCTGGCGCAGTTCCCAGGCATGCGTCGTCCCTGCTGCGCGTCGTCCCGGTGGGGCTCCCGGCCGCCCGCGGGCCGGGCCTGGGGGAAGCGCGCGGCAGGGGCGCGGCCCGGGGAGGGCCCTGGGATTATCGTGTGGCATCAGCCCCTTAAAATGGTCCCGCGGTCACGTGCGTGGCAGACGCGAGTCTGCTCCCCAAGGGCTGTTCCCGTCCATTTTGTTTTCCAGCCAGAGAGAAAACGAGCAGCACGTGCTCCAGAAACCGACGTGCACGGCGAGCTGCGCGGGGCCGCGCGGTCGGTCCCCTGGGAGCAGCCCCACGGCTTGCCGGGCCCTCCCCGCCCTGGCCCCGAGCGGGAGCCGCGTGCCCGGATTCGGCTGGGGGACCAGCGGAGGGGAGGCCGGCAGTGGGCCGGGCTGCGGGGTGGGGTGGCCTGTGTTGCATTGGACAGTGGCCGCCAGGCCATGACTGGGGACCAAGAGCTCCTGCCCCAAGGGGGCTGCCTCCTCTCCGTGGGGCCGGCTGCTCCAGGACTGAGGTCCGAGGATGCACACACATCACACACATGCACCACCCGCAGCCTCATGGCCACACCAGCTGTCAGATGGCTTTGGCTTCCAGTCATCCTTTAAGGGGACAAAATACTTTTCCATGAACCCTCAGAACAATTCTGTGAGGTAGGTAGCAGAAATGCCACCGCCCTGTTTAACCAATGGGGGAAATTGAGGTACACGGGGGTGAGCACAGTGCAGCCCAAGTCTACGTCTGCCTGACTGCCCTGGCTCAAGGTATGATGTGTGTGGGTCAGCCATGTGGCTCTCAGGTGCAGGACAGACCAACACCTGGGCTCTGCAGGCTGGGCGTGCACAGGGACCCCGAGCTGCTGCATGGAGGCTCTGCCCATGTTCTCCCCTCATGTGGGCAAAGATGGAGCTGTGGAACCCAATGGGACAGGGCTCCAGAAAAGAGGCTTCCCACAGCCCCCACTAAGGCCCCTTCCTCTAAAAGCTGTCCAAGGCCAAGGCTAAAGCCAAGACAAGGGAGTTTTCACCGTCTCTTTTCTACTGAGTGTGACCTTTGGGAAAGAAACCAGATGAGTGAAAAACAGGCCCTGCAGCCCAGTGGAAGGGCCTCCAGGGACGAGCGCCCAGAGCGCTTGTTTCTGAGCACAGCCACAGGTGGAGCAGGCGGTGCATAAGCCTGGCCTGTACTCCTACCCAGGCATTCTCGGAACAGGGGCAGGGCCTGAAGCCAGGATTCAGAGGGGCCTTCCCTCCAGGTGGGGCCTCAGGCTCCCAGGCCCAGGTGGAGCAAGGAGTGACAAGGAGTGCCCTTTGCTGAGGTCCTGCTCACAGCACTGCACCCCTGGTCTGGCCCTAGGAGGCCTCACCATAGACGAGATGACCTTGTGCAGCCACAGGGGCCAGGGGGAGGAAGAGCAGGGAGGTCACAGGTGGGAAAAGTGGGTGTCTCTCACCCGGCACAGAGTGGGCACTCGGTGGTGGCCCACCTGTTGTTCTCAGCCTGCCCTGCACTTGGCACTGTTTGCTGAGCACAGCCTTGTGCAGCTGTCCATCTTAGGAGCCAGGCCTGCCCAGAACCCCCTAGGTGGGCCACCATGTCCCTGTGTGGGCCTCAGCTCTCAGGGGGATAACAGCTGGGCAGGCTCTCCATATGGAGACCTCAGGGTGGGTGCAGGCTTGCCAGGGAGGCGGGACTGAGGAAGTGTCCCTTTCCTATGGGTCAGGGGCAGCACACCAGGGGCAATCAGGATACCCCTCCCCTACCGTGTGCAAAGGCAGATGCCACCCAGGATGTGACCCAAAAGCAAAACGGTGCTCTGGGAGTGAGCCCTGGCAAGGCTCCCAGCCCTGCAGGGCATACCTAGCTGCACACACGGCTCTACAGTGCCAGCCTCACTGCTCAGGCCAACCTGCTCAAGCCTTCACTGGCCACATGGTTCCTGCAGATGACACACACACACCTGATGCACACACACGCACCAAACCCCCAAATCTCAACCCACAAGGCCAGCCCTGTATGTTCCCAGAGGGCAGCGGGGCTGAGGGTAGCTGCGGGAGGACTCGGGGCCAGGTGTGGGGCCTCCACCTCAGACCTGTGCCAACTGCCTGTTTCTTGGGCTGGCCTCTGGGACGCTTGCTGGGGTCACCTAGCGCCGTGGAGGCCCCACGCTTGCTCAACCGCACAGTGGTGTCTTAAGAACAGCCAAAACGTGCCGCAAGGTGTGAGGCTGGTGGGCAGGCGTCTGCTGGCTCTGCCCAGCCCCAAGCGGACTTCAGAAGAGCAACATGTTTGGCAGCTACATTATAACATGTATTTAAAAGCATTAAAAATATCTGCTACTATAAAACCTCCGCCACGAGGCTGGAGTTTATTGGGAACCACGAGTGGGCGGTGCTGGGGGCATCTCTCAGGCGGGCCGGGACCTGGCGCCCAGGACTGGGCTGATTGGCCTCCAAGGCTTCTCAGGACGTCCCCCACCAGGGGACTGAGTGGGCCCTGGGCTCCTTGGCATCTGGCCACCAAGCCCCAGGGCCTGAGCCTGAGCCGGGCTCCCTGAGGAAGCAGTGTCTTGGCTTCCAGGAAGGGCAGGACACACAGGCAGGACCCCCAGGCTGGTGGGGCTGCGGTGGCTCCTGAGGCTGGAACACCTGCCACGACTCTCAAGCTGGGCACTGTCCGTCTGGGCCCCCGGCCCCCGCTGGAGCTTTCCGGTTAACAAGCAGAGTGGTCACTCGGCTCCCAGCAGGGAGCTCCCCGTTAGTTTCCAGGTTGTGAGCACATTCAGACTTAAGACTGTTTGTCTTTGTGTTTTTAAGTGTTTGTCTCTGTTGTAAACTGAAATGTTAGCAGAAACGCAGCTGGGCCCTCCTGGTGCAGTGGCCACCTTGGGGCCGAACGCGTGCCCCTCGGCCATCTGGCGCTGGCCCCTCGGTGGGCGGAGCTAGGCGGTGGCCTTGGAGTGTCCGAAGATGCAGATGGGGAAGTGCTTCACGTGGGAGGACCACTGGGCGGCCAGCTGGAAGAACTTGACGTCGCTGCACTCCACACCATCGATGAGGACTGCGGGAGAGGGCTGCCTGACCGCCCGCCCGCCACACCTGCCCGGCCCACCGGGCGGGGTAGCACCTGGATGGGTGGGCATGCCAGCTGGGGCGCAGGGTGAGGAGGAGCCCACTGCCAGAGGCACACACACCCTCGGGGCCACCCTGGCCCTCCCACTTCTCAGGCCCGGGAGACCGCTTGTCCACAGCCACCCCCCGCGTTCAACAGGCGCCGGGACGAGACACCACGCACCCCGCCAGACGCTCTCCACTTAAGACAGAATCCAACAGAGACCAGGGCAACCTCCGCCTTGAGGGCATCAGACCGGAGCTCATAAAAACAGGAAAACCTGGGAGCTGCATTTCTGAATCGATTACTTGCAGAGCAGCTTCTCTACAGACACTTTGAAATACACAAACTGCTCTTTAGAAAAGCAGAAAGGAGAGAAAACTTCTTTCTCAGAATTTGAAAAGCCGCTGGCTGCGCGTCAGAGCCGCAGGGTGTGCCGAGACGTCACCGCGCCGCCCGCAGCAGCAGCTCCTGTGGCTTCGTGTTTGAGAAAAGGTCTCTGTGCCCCAGGCTGAGCGCAGTGGTGCGATCCTAGCTCACTGCAGCCTCGAACTCCCGAGCTCACCTGATCCTCCTGCCTCGGCCTCCCAGTCTGCTGGGAGTACAGGTGCTGTCAGTGCACCCAGCTAATTTTTTAAGTTCTGGAGAGATGAGCTCTTGCTATGATGCCCAGGCTGGTCTCAAACTCCTGGCCTCAGCGATCCTCCTGCCTGGGCCTCCCAAAGTGCTGGGATTACAAGCATGAGCCACTGTGCCTGGCTGTGTGGTAAAATTTTAAAAGCACCTCAAGTCTGCTCTGGTCTCCTTTTGCATCTTACAGACAGAACGGAAGGGCCCGGTGCTCACCCCGTAGCATGTTCTGCTGGTGCTTGGCCGTGCATATCAGCCGGCTGATGCCCTCGATGCACTGGCTTTTGGACTCCACGTCCTTGTCCTTCGTCTTCTTGGGCAGAAACATCACTAGGAGGGAAAGGCCCGGTGTCATCTCGCTGCTCCTGCAGGGCCAGGCTGGCCGGGGCCCCTGTGCAGCGAGGGGGGGCGCTGTGGCCCGAGGGGGAGGAGCACTGGGGGGCCACCGCTGTGCCCTGCTCAAGGGGGAGCTGCCCTCCTGCCTGGCTCTGGCGGGAAGCGGCCCAGACCCTCAGCGCCCTGGGGGCTCGCACTTTCTGCTGCCGCCTGCGCGAGGCCCGCTATCTGCCCCCACCTGCCACTCGGCCGCCTGCCTCACCCTTCTTGTTCTTCTCCTTGGTGACCACGGTCATGGACATGGTGGGCGTGGCCGCGGCCTCGCCACTGCTGGGCAGCCGGCTGACCTGGAGGGACCGGAAGGTGCACTTGAGTGTGCTTTTGGCCACGGGCAGGTCCTTCCTCTCCGCGTCTCTCTTCCTGTCTGCGGGCTGCGCAGTCGTCCAGTAGTCCACCTGCAGCCCCATCAGCTCGGCACCGACACCCTGGCTGGGGAGGCAGAGGGAGGTGCTCACCGACGATCCCCAGGCACTGGTCCTGAGGACGGCAGCGTCGCTGTCCCCGTCACAGGCCACGAGTGACAGCCAGCACCCACCCCAACTTCCCAGTCAGCCGAGGAGTGTCAGGTGCTTGGAGCAGGCTCTGTGGAGCCACCTGCATGTCCAGGTCACCCAGGAGTGTCCCGCACAAATCACAGGGCGCCCGGTGGCTGAGCTGCAGCTTAGGCAGCCGCCCACAAGCTCCCAAGCTGCCCCTCGGAGTCTGGGGGGCCCCGGTGAGCCGGCCCCTCGAGAGGCACAGCCTGGTGCCAGGTGCTTTAGTTTGCGCGAGTTCTGCTGCAGGGGCCGGGGCCTGGTGGGAGCTAAGGACTGGAGACCCCATCTCCTGTGCCTCTTGCCCTCGGCTCATTCTTTAAAAGCCCTGGCCGGTGGTTTCTGTGCCCAGCACTGCTCGGTGGGAGGCACCTGCCCCACCTGGCTGTGTGGCAGGAGACAGCTGCCGGCTGGGCCTCCACCTGCCCCTGCCGGGGGCCAACAAGCCAGGTGCCTGTGGGGGGCCATGACTTGGGGAGTGGACGACAGGCAGCAGCACAGTGTAAGGGGTAGGGGTGGGTGAATCAACGAGAGCCTCGCCTCGCAGGGTCCTTTACCTGGGGGAGGACAGGCCCCCACTCACGGACGGGGAGGAAGGCGGGGTGGGTGAGGCCTCCTTGGCCGCGGGAGATGTGGACGGTGGGGTGGAGGACAGCACGCCGGGGCCCGAGGGGGCTGCGTCGTCCGAGTCTCCTTGGGGAGGAGTCACAGGGGAGGGGTGAGACCACGCACTGCTCTGCCCAGGCAGCAGCAGGCCGTCGGGGCCAGGAGGGCACGAGGAGCCAGGCAGCCCCTCAGGCCGGCAGGGCAGGTCCCCAGGTAGCCCGTATTGAGGCATGAGTCTCACGTTCTCCTCCGCCTGGGAAAGCTCCCGGCCCGCCTTGGCGTGGGGGCCTCGTGAGGGCAGCGGCCGCTCCCTGCGGGGCCACCCCCTCACCACGGGCTCCACTCCCCCCCAGAAGGTCCCCCCAACAGGGGCCACTGCCGCCAGGGGCTGCTCCCCCATGCTGAGCAAAAGCCCCACGGCGAGGCCGCGGACGGGGCTGCTCTTGGGCCACAGTGCCGGGCTGGTCCTCAGGACGAGAGGATGGTGTTCCCAGGGCACAGGGCACCGGGACCACCTGACCCCAGGGCCTCGGGGTGGGACGGGGTTACCTGACGTGGCTGAGGATGGCTCCACAATTCCAACCTTCACAACCTAGAAAGCAACAGGCGCTGGCTGGTGGCAGCTGTGGGGGTGTCAGCCCGGCCCCCACTGCCCGGCTGGCTCCAGCCTCAGGGCTCAGACCCAGGCAGGCTCCTGCTCCCCCACAGCTGCCTGGCCACCATGCCCACGGCACAGGTGGTACGGGTCCCACCCCACCCGTCCAGCTCAGGGCAGCACGAGGGGTCAACCAGCCTCGGGACGCTCGGCCTCAGCAGGACTGCCCTCTCCCAGTGGCCTAGTGCAGTGGCAAACCACGTGCCCGGCCAGGCCCAGCTGTCAAGCAGGTCCAGGACACTGGCAGGAGGGACAGGCACAGCCCCAGCTCGGAGGCAGGTGTCACTCCAAAAGCTGTGGGCCAGTGGGACAGGGCCCAGACCTGCCAGGTGCAGTGTGGGAGCTGCTGGCCACAGGGGCTGTGACAATTCCAGGGAAATGACAAAGACACACTAGACCTTGCCACATGGGGATGTCCTGAGTGCCCAAGAGCACAGGCCTTGTCACCACAGAAGCGGCTCCCGACGAGTTCACCCCTCCCAGAGGCCAGCAGACCCTGCACCAGGACCCGACCACGGCACGGTGCACAGAAGACCCGTGTCCCACTGAGGGGGACACTGAGGCCCTGAGGCCCTGCCCCCACCTGGCAGCCTGTCGGCCAGGCTCCCCGACGGGCTCTGCAGCCCGCACCCCAGCTGGACGGAGGACACAGGACAGGACAAAAGACGGCAGGACACAGGCTGTGGACACTCAGCCGGCAGGAAAGGAGCCCTTAATGCCCCGCAGGGCCGGAACTGGAGCCTACAGGTTTAAGGCCACGACCCCAGACTGGGAACTGGCAAGGGCAGCAGCGCCCAGGCCTGGAGCCCCTGCAGGACCCCCAGCGCGGGCAGCGGGGTCTCCTCTGCCGAGAGGCTGGGCCCGGGCCCCACGCAGGGGAAGAAAGCCAACCAGAAGGTGGGAGGCCGTAACGCCAAGCCCCAGCTCAAATTAGAAGCTCCTGGGACCTTTCCAGTCAGCACAAAAACGTTCTGATCACAAAAGACTTTGAGCAGGTGAGCGGATTCCTGACGAGAGAGCCGCGGCACTCACCCCGACGAAGGGAATGAACTTCTGCGAAGACTCTTCGTCAGGGCTGCGAGCAAGAGACAGACGTTACGCTCTCTGTGTGCTGTGAGCTCGAGGTGTCCTGGGGCGCAGTGCTCTCCCGGCCTGAGGGCTCCCCAGGGGCCCAGCGGCCCCACCCTCCCCGCCCACTGCCTGCCCTGCCCTGCCCTGCCCTGCCCTGGCCTCCCGACGCCTGGATCCTTCCAGCACGCGGATGTGGGGACACAGGGAGGAATCCTCCCAGGGAGGCCCGGGCGGGCTGCGGAAGGAATGCGAGTCTGCATGCTCCCTGACGCCCAGGGCCACCGCCCGGGCCGACCCAGCCCGCCACTCCCTGCACGGCTGGGGAAGGGCCTGCTGCCGGCAGCCCTGGGACTCCCGGGACAGTCTGGGCCTTCTCCAGCGCCTGGGGGTGGCTGCCGCTCAGCGGGGCGTGGAGCTTTCCTCCCAGACGGTCTGGGTAACGTCAGTGCCAGTGTGAGAGGTCGGGCCCCTGGCTGTGGTGGCCGCTGCGTTCTAAGAGCACAGCACCGGGCGCAGCCTGCAGGCCCCAGCGCCTGGCGGGGGCTGGACGTGGCAGCCGCTCCGGCAGAGCGGCCACAGCTGTGCGCCAGGGGCGGCCCAGGGCCCAACGCCAGGGCGAGGACTTTCGAGAGGACAGCTCTTCCTTCCTTCCTTCCTTGGTGCACACGGCCCAAGCCGGGCCAGCGCACGGTCCACTCCACGCAGGCCCCCACCAACCCGTCCCCACTGCGGCCCTAGCAGCCGTCCCACGAGACGAGGCCGCGCAGAGCCGAGGCTCCATCTGCGGCTCCAGGGCGTCCCTGTCAGGCCCTGGCAAGGTCCGCAGGGCAAGGCCGGTCCTCGGAGGCCCCCACGGCTGCCTGCGGGCAGAGCTGCCTTCCGCCCGGGGCAGACCGTGCTGACGGCTGGCGCCGTCTCCAGGGGCAGTTCTGCCAGGTCCACCACTTCTGTCTCGTGTCCCCAAACGGTGGGTCTGAAGCCAGTGAGTGGCCCCTGCAGACGGGGACCCAGGCGTGTGCGTGCGGTGCCATCAGTGCTGGCAGAGGACCGAGGCACAGGGCTTCTCCTGGGTCCCAGGCCACAGGCGCTGGCCGGGAGGGCCCTGCGCTGCGAGGAGTGTGGCTGGGGCATCCCCTGCAGGAAGCGGCCTGAGGAGGGCACGCCGGACCAAGCGTGGCCGCCTGCCCGGCACCCATCTCAGGACCTGCAGCCTGTCCCCGGGAGCCCCGCAGGGCAGAGGCCGTGCCCACGAGTTGAGCCAGGGGCCTTGGCCCAGGGCCAGCCCAGAACACACGCTGGCGTGTGGCCCTCAGAGGCTGCTCCTAGCAGGTGCTCCCGTCCTCTGGGTGCCCGGGCAGCAGACGGTGGCAGAGCCCCGGCACCTCCAGCCCCACCGTCCGAAAGCCAGCGCCTCTGGAGGAGGCCACGAGTGATCCTGCCCGTGGCGCCACGGAGGCCCGGGTCCCAGCCTCCGTGTCGTTGCTTGGGAGAGCAGGGTTGAAAGACATTTTCCTTCTTCACCTCAAATAGCACAATGCGCTGGAAGCCGAGCCCACGCCCACCCGGCTGCTGGCGGGAGTGCCCAGGAGGCCGTCGATGTGGGGCCCACGGGCCTCTTCAGGCAGGTCTGGCCTGAGCCCTCCCAGGCATGAGAGGTCACAGAGGGCAGGTGGCGACTGCCGGTACCCAGCGGGTAGGCAGCCCCGGTCCCCAGACCCCCAACACACGGCAGAGCGGCCCCGGTCCATGCTCTGCTCTGGGGGAGCCGCGCGACACGGATGCTCCCGGAACTCAAAGCCAAGCTGAGCTCTGGGCCATGCAGACAGCACCCAGCACGGGACACGGGCCGGCGTGACAGGGGTGACACCGCAGGCTGAGACCCCCACCGGGACCTGGGCGCGGAGGGGCTGCCAAGGCCTCGGTGTGCCCTTGGGGACAGGATGGCCAGGAGTCTGGCTCGAGGGAACTGCCGGGCAAGGAGGGCACAGACGCCCGGGGGCTGCTCAGTGCGGCCAGGGGCTCTGCCCGGACCCCCCAGAGGCCTTTTCGCCGGCGCTGACCTCAGTCCCGGGCAGTCTGCTGGGACGGCGCCTGCAGAAGCTCCCGGGCCAGGCAGGCACCGGCAGGACTCTGCACAGTTCCCTGCCACGAGGGCCGTGCCTTCCACCCACCCCTCCCGGTGCCCAGCTGGCCGCTCTGGTGGACGCAGGCGACTACCAAGCCAGGCAAAGGCTACTGCCGCCCCACTCGCACTCTGGGCCTTCACCAGGCTCCGTCCTGGCTCCCGCCCAACCCCCGGGGGCTGGTGTCACCACTGTCACGCAGATGCAGGGGTGGGGACACGGGGGAGTAGATGCCAGGGTCTCCTGAAGCCCAGGCTTGCCGCTGGGACAAGCCAACCCCGGGAGGGACGAGAAGCGGCGGCCTGGCGCCAAGGCATGCTGCAGGCTGACGGAGCGCAGAGTGGTCTTTCTCTCACCTGCCGAGGCTTGTCTAGCAGGACTGACGGGCGCAGACGGCCCCAGACCACTACCCTGTGCTGGGGTGGGGCTGGGCAGCTCTCCCAGGACAGCGAGTGACACAGGGCAGGGGACACAGGGCAGAGAGCCAGCCCCAGGCAGGGCGGGCGCTGGCTGCAGGTGTGGTAGGACACACCCGGCCAAGGAAAGGGGGGGGCTCCTGTCTGAATGGACAGCTGATGGCTGGGGGCTGTGAGCTCGGCTGGAAACACCAAGTCTACGAGGGCAGAGCCATGTCAGGGTGCGGGCGCTCCGCCCCGCCCGCGAGTCCCAGAGGTCTGCCCGCCCCTCCAGGTGACCACGAAGGACACTGGAAAGGCCTCTGTGGGCCTCGCCGCTGGCCCCGGGCGCTCGGGGGACGGCCGCCGACCGCTGCCTCTCCCTGGGCCGGGGTCTCGGTGCCTGGCCCCGACGTCCCTGGGTGGCAGGGACGCCCTGGCGTGAGGTGCGGGTGGCCCTGACGCCGGGCGGTGGCTGGCAGCTTCCTCTGAAAGGAGGCGGCACTGTCCGGCCTCAGCGACGCGAGGACGCCCTGAGGGCTGACGCCAGCCCCCGCGTGAGCCGAAGCCCCGGATGGGAACGGGAGGCCCCCGCAGCGACCCGGCCGCAGGGCCCCGCGGTTCTGACTCGCCTCGAGGGCGGGACCCCAGGAAGAGGGTCTGCACCTGCTCCTCAGCGCTCAGGGACCCTCGCCTGACGGGGCCACCTCTCCTGCAGCCTCGTGCGCGCCAAGGCCTGGCCCCAGCTCGGGGGAAGGTGCGGGGGAGAGTGACACAGGCGTTGACTGCTAAACAAGCCCCAAAGACCAGCCTGGGACAGACAGGGCGGGACGCAGACCAGAGCCGTACCTTACGGTAAAGTCAAAATGAAAATGCTTTTTCCTTTTCGGAAAGCCGTCAAAAGAGAAAACACAGACTCGTTACGGACGCTCTGGGGGCGGCGAGGGGCCCCAGGCGCCGGCTGGCGCGGGAGCCTCCCCGTCTCTGCGACTCTCCACCCTCCTGTCTTGGGGCAGCAGCTGCGAGCCCCCAGGGTCCCTGCGGGGCGGCACAGCCCCCTCGGCCAGGGAGCGCCCAGGAGAGCCGGACGGCCAGGACTCAGCTCTGCCTCAGTCTAGGGCCAGCGTTGGAGCGCGCATGGACGCCCGGCTGCGGGGGCAGGCGCCAGGGCAGGAGCACTGACCCGCTCTGGGCAGGCGGGAACGCGAGCTCGACACTCACCAACGGGCCCAAGGCCACGGGCCCAAGGCCACGGGACCCCTGTGCCCCAGCCCAGGAAGCCCGGGAGCAGTGTGGCCTAGGCCGAGGGAGCTGGGCCACTGCCACCCGGGGCCAGGACAGCTGTCAACTCTCCGTCCCCGAGACCTCAATGTGCACAGAAGCAGGGAGAGCCCTCAAAACACCCTGCTCCTTTGACCCGATTTGCGAGCACGCCGCTCGCTCAGGGCTGCGCCACGCCCGGCATGGGGCTATGTCCACGGCCCTCCTGGGCCGAGACCAGCAGCGGGGGAGGCCACAGGGGTGGGGGCTGGCGCCTGCCCACGCCCAGCCCGGGCCCCCGCGTTACCTCTTCTGCCTGTAGGTGAGCATGGCCTCGGCGATGGGGAGCTGGTGCGCGCAGTTGGCGCCCGAGATGTACTGGGTGATGCGCGCCACGATGTCCGGCGTGTCCTGCACTGCACGAGGGGGGGCGGCGGTCGGCCGGGCGCAGCTGCCGCTGGGGTGCGGGAGAGTGCGGGCACCCACCACAGGGCACCTCTGCCTCCCAGCGGCCAGCCCGGGGACCCTCCGCCTCCACCCTCAAGGGTCGCAGGGCCGGGGCAGCACGGCCTCCTGCCCTCCCCAAACAGGCCCCACTTTCTCCAACGAGCTCTGAGGCTCAGAGAGTAGGAGGGAGGGGCTCCGGCTGGGGACCCCCAGCCCATCTGCCGGGCGTCCCTGAGACAGGAGAGAGTCGGGAGGAGAGGGGCCCCGCCCCGGCCGGCCCGCAGCCTCACCAGCACTCTGGGCCTCCAGCTTGTTGAACAGGTCTCTCCAGGCCAGGTCCTGGAAGAAGTTGTTGTAGCGGTAGTCCACGGAGCCCAGGTACCGTGCCACGGGGTGGGAGCCTGCGTGCCCAGGGAGCGCCATCACCACGTGTGGGGCCCAGAGCCGGGCGGCCCGCCCCCCCCAGCCACGGCTGCCCCCCCCCCACCGTCTCCCAGACAAGCCCACCCTCCTGCTCCTGCGCCTCCCTGCCCTCCTGGAGGCTGCGTCTGCCCCAGGAGGAGCTGCCGCAAAGGCTCACCCCCCACGCTCCCTGAGAAAGGCCACCCCGCACCCTCCTCTCGGCGCCAGGCTGGCGTCAGGACGTGCCACTGCTGTCCGTGCAGCTCAGGCTGACTGGTCGCAGCCGTATCCTGCAAGGAGGCGGCACAGAGCCCAGCCCCACCGCCCGCGGCGCCCCACCGGCCTCACCCAGCGGGATGACGAGGAAGCGCATGTAGCCGAGCCAGTCGGGCGTCTTGTGCGACAGCTGCTCCACGAAGAGCCGCAGGACGGCGCTGAGGTAGTGCTGCGCCCCCGCCACGGCGATCTTCACGGGCGTCGGGGGCTGGGAGTTGCAGTTGCAGCTGGACGGGCGGGCGGCACACAGAGGGCAGCGCCTCAGGGCGGCGTCCCGGCCAGCGGAGGCCTCCAGGGGCTGTGGGGGACCGGCGGGTGCAGAGCCCGCTGCGTGCACGCCTCCCGCAGCCCTGGGGCGCAGGGCGCCCCATCCCACGCGGCGGCGGGGCTGGAGGGCGGCGCGGACTCACTATCGCTGGATCCGGGAGACGATGGTGCTGAAGGCGGCCTGCACGTCGGCGGCGGAGCAGGTGCACACCACGGGCAGCGTGTGCCGCTGCAGCACGTCCGACAGGAACTGCGGGGACGGGCCAGCGCTGACCTCGGCCGGGCCGCCAGGGCCACGCGCTCACCCCCCACCCCGCGCACCCCGCTCTCCGGGCTCGGGCGGGAAACCACGCCGGCGGTGGGGCCTGGACCCGCCACCACGGGCCGCCACCTACCTGGCCCTGCCAGTCGGCCGTGTTGACCAGGATGATGTTCTCGGGAAGCTGGTCGTCGGAGACCAGGATGTGGTTCAGCTGGTCGTACACCGTCTTCCGGGGGATCTGCAGACACGAGGCCTGTCCACGCCCGGAAGGAGAAGCCCCACCGCTGTTCCCCACCCCCACGCTGGTGCCGGCAGCGGCACGGCTCGGCACGGCCGGGGCTTCCCGGCAGCAGGCAGTTTCCAGGCGAAGCCCGGCCTGTGCCTCCGTCAAGCACGCCGGCCGCCAAGCCTCCCTCCCGCCCGCCCACCCGCACCTGCAGCTGGCTCCGGGAGTCCGGGCAGCGCTCGCTGTCCAGGCTGTTGGCCCGCTCGCTCTGGGGCCGCGCCGGCTGCCGCTCCTTCAGGGACGTGCTGCGGCCGCGGCGGCCGGCCTGCTTTCCCTCGGACCTGTCAGGGGGCAAGGCAGGCTGGGGGCAGGGCCGGGCCAGGGCTCACCATGGCCACGTCACAGCAGCCCGGGGGCAGAGCCGCTCAGCGGCGGGGGCAGGGAAGGACACCGCAGGGCCCCTGCCGGGCAGTGGGTCCGTGGCCGCCTGGAGAGGCCCCTGGGCCGAGCTCGCCCTCCCCTCCAGCCAGGACTGGGTGCTGGGCTGTCAGGTGACCCTCTGGGCCCTGGCGAATGCCAGGCGCAAACACCGCAGACACACGGTCCAGGTCCCGCAGGAACAACTGACGGACGGGCCCTCCGCCCGGCGGGGCTCTGGAGGGGCAGGCGCGGGGCCTGTGTGGAGGATGAGGCCCGGCTGCCCTCGGCCCAATGGAGAGCCGGGCTGCAGGTTCATCTCCGCAGCGAGCGGCGGGCAGGCGCTGGTCGCCATGAAGGTCCATGCCAGGCCTGGGCTAGCGCGGTGCCCCCAGGACACCTGACATGACGCGGCCTTGACACTGACGCCGGCGCCGGAGAGGACGGGGAGTGGGGTGGCGGGGACGCCTGGGCAGCGGCTGCCGTCCCTGGAGGGGCCCGGCCTTGGGGGCTGCGGGAGCTGCAGGGGATGAGCCCCCAGGCGGTGGTGGAGGCGGGGGCTGGCGCGGGGGCCCAGGACGTGGGGGGCCAAGGCCGAGGGAACCCAGGGTGGTGGCCGGAGCTCGGAGACCGGCCCTGGTCTGGCTGATAGGCGGTGAGTGGGGAGAGGCCCATGCAGACCGGGGGTACCCCCACCTCAGCCACCCCACGGCGTGGCTCGGCCCACGTGCCTGGCCCTGGGTCTCCTGCTGCCCCCGCCCTCCTGACCCCCAGCAGGCCCCGCGCCGGGCTCAGCCACTGCGCCGCCTCCCTGCACCCCCCTCCGCAAGGGCCGCCGCCCAACGGCCAGAGCTGCCGGCAGCGGCCAGACACGTGGTCCCACCCGGGCTCCTGGAGGCCTCGAATCTGCCGTCCCCGCCTGAGTGGACCGTCCCACCCGACGCCCCCTGCGCTGCCCGCCCCAGCCTGCGCCCGCGCAGCACAGCCCCGCCACCTGGTGGAGGGGATGACCAGGGACTCCGTCTTGGTGATCCTCCCGCTGGGCGGCAGCTTCTCCATGAACACGTCCAGGGCGCAGGGCTCCGCCTCGGGGCTGTCCTCGGGCGGCCCTGCCGGCTCCCGTGGGGCCAAGGCGCCCTGGCGAGCAGAGACAGACGCCCTGCACAAACCGCCGCCCACACGCACACCCGCGCCGGGGCCTTCTCCACCATGTGGCCGTGGCCTGGGGGAGGGGCCTGGCCTCTCGGGGCCTGCGCTTACGAGGGCCACCGTGTCCGACAGGCTGTCGCTCGGCCGCTTGCCTCCCAGGGACCGCGTCTTCTCGGGCACGTCGGCCTGGGGCGAGACGGGGATCGGCCGCGCTCAGTCGCTGGTGCTGAGGCCGCGGCATCCGGGCAGGGGCGCCGGGCAGGGGCGCCGGGCCGGAGGCGCCAGGCGGGTGGGGTGTCCGGGCGGGGCACAGGGGCTGGGGCAGCGGCGGGGCCTGAGCCCAGGCCGTGCTGGGAGACGCGGCCACACCACGGCCCAGCCGGGCACCGTCCACTGCGCTGGCGCCCCAGGCCCACCGCGCGCCCTGAGGACGGGCGGGCCAGGGCTCACCGGGCTGGGGGGCTCCTTGTGGCTCCGGGCGCTGTGGATGCTCCCGATCTCCGTCTGCGAGCTGGAGTGCGACAGGCCTTCGAAGTACGGCCTGGCCAGGGAGGGGCATGTTACTTCCCAGACGTCCCCCAGCACCTGGGCGCCGGCCTGGGGGCCCCGATGGTGGGCTGAGTCACCCCAGCAGGCCGGGGCCTCCTGAGGGTGCATGCCGAGCCCGGCGTGGACCTGCCTCTGTGCTCTCCCCTGCCCGCCGCAGGCAGCACTGCCTTGGGCTCCTGTCCTGCCGCAGTGGCGACCCACTGCAGCTCCCACGTGGCCCCTCACCACTGACCCACCTCAGCCTCCCCAGCCCCGTGCCCCGCCCAGCAACACCCCAGGGATCCCTCTGCCCTCCCTGGCCCAGAGCCTGCACCCCCAGCAGCGCTGGCTTCTCCACAAATGTGCCGCAGCCATGACAGTAAAACCGCCGGCCCACCCACCCCCGTGGGACCGTGGGACCGTGGCACATTGCACCTGACCCCAGGCCACCCTGCAGGCTATCCCCATCGGAACCGTCGGTTGTCCCTGACAACCGTAACAGGGCTGGGCATGTCTGTAGCGTGGGCAGGGTGTGCAGGAAGCCACCGGGCTGTGGGCCATCCCTCGGGCCAGACTCACCCGCTGGCACGTGCAGCCCCGGCTCACCTGAGCTTCGGCTTGGGGGTGCTGAGGACGCTGTCGTCGTCCTCCATGTCAGGGCCGCTGTCGCTTGGGTTCTCCATGTCCAGCGTGTCGTACAGAAGGTCCAGGTCCTCCTCCACCTCGGGCACGTGCTCCGCAGGGTCCTGCTCCGAGTCCAGGACCTGCAGGGATGCCAGACTGCGTGAGGGCCAGGCAAGGGCAGTCCCACAGGTGCCTGCGTCACGGCAGGTAAGGAGAGCCGCCCCAGGCCCACACAGAGGGTGGGTGGGGACAAGATGGGGGGCACCCAGAGCCACCAGACCCTTTCCTGCCAGCATGTTCTGAGTCCAGTTAGTCTGTTTTGGAGACCCCAGGTGCTGGGCCAGCTCGCCGCCTGCTCTCGTGGCTCAGGTGCCTGGCATGTGGTGGGAACTCAGTGTGCATGCGGCGCGCCCAGCAGGCGCACAGTCGTGCAGGCGGCGCGCCCGGCAGGCGCACAGTCGTGCAGGCGGCGCGCCCGGCAGGCGCACAGTCGTGCAGGCGGCGCGCCCGCAGGCGCCATCGTCCATGTGCGCGCCCGGCAGGTGCACAGTGTGCATGGGGTGTGCTCGGCAAGCGCGCACTGTTGTGCAGGTGGTGCACTGGGCAAGTGCACAGTTCCTTAAGTTTTGTCCCTGCCAGAATGTCACACGAAAGGAGTGGCACGGCGTGTGGCCTCGGGGGTCTGGGTCCCCTCACTGGGCGTGACGCACCACAGACTCGCCCACGTGGCTGTGTGTGCCGACAGCTGACTCCTCCCTGCCCGGCAGCGTCCCACTGCACTGACCGGCCTGTGTGTCTAGCAAACCACTGGCAGGTGAGTCCGGGACGTCCCCAGTGAGGGGCCGGCACGAGGAAGCCGGCACGAACATCTGCACGCTGGACTCCGTGTGCACAGATGTCTCTCCTCCCTCAGGTCACTGCTCAAGAACGGAGCTGCCAGGGTTTGCCGACTGCTCGCACAGCAGCTGTGTCACTCCACACCCCCACCAGCAGCAAGCGTTGCAGCCACTGCACGCCACGGGTGCGTCACTTCCTATTTATTCCAGCCACCCCAGAATACACCCACTGTACCTAAACCCACTATAGCTCGCTGCAGTTTAACTTTCCCTAATGACCAGTGATGACATTCACGTGCTCACCAGCCACTCGTGCACGGTCTTCGGAGAAACTGGTATCCAGAGAGATCCTCTGCCCATTTTCATTCGTTAAAATTTTTTTTAATGGACAGAGCCCTGCTCTGTCGCCCAGGCTGGGGCGCAGTGGCACGATCACAACTGCAGCCTCCAACTCCTATGCTCAAGTGGTCTCCTGACTGAGCCTCCTGAGTCACTGGGACTGCGGGTCCCACCACGCCCGGCTCGTGTTTCTGTGTCTTGCAGAGATGGGGTCTCGCTCTTGCCTGGGCTCGCTCTCAGCTCATCTTGAGCACGGCGGGAGGAAAGGGCCGGGCGTCCTTCTCCTGCGTGTGTGTGTCCAGTGGTCCCAGCACCACTTGTTGAGAAGACTATTCTTTCCCCATGGAATGGCCTTGCCGTCCTTGTCGAAAACCAAACAACCCTCAACAGAAGGACTGACTTCTGGCCGGTGAGTCTGTCCTCGTGCCAGGGCGCAGGCCTGGTGGACACCACAGCTTCCTGGTCGGTTCTGAACTTGGGCAGCGTTCAGTCCTCCAGCTTTGTTCTTTCTCTAGACTGCTGAGCTATCCACACACATTTCAGCTGGTCAACTTCTGCAAAAAAGCAGCTGGGGATCTAACAGGCATCGCGTTGCACCTGCAGACCCACGGGGAGGCGCTGCCACCTCATCAGCAGCAAGTCTCCCAGTGCGTGGGCGCTGCTGGACACCTTCCTACTGGTTTGCAGATCCTCTAATTTCTGTGAGAAATGTTTTGTGGTTTCAGTGTGTGAGTCTTACCCATTTTTTAAAATTCGGTTGTCTTTGTCACTGGGTTTTAAGAGTTCTTTCTTCATGTACTCAATACAAATCTTTACCAGATACATGATTTTATGTCAGCGTGTGGCTTGTCTTTATCTTTTCATTCTTTCAACAGTATCTTTCAGAAAGCAAATTTCTACTTTTTTATTGTGGTAAAATATATACAAAATGTAACACCATATTAACACCTTTTCTTTGCTTTTTTTTCTCGAAACAGAGTCTCACTCTGTTGCAGGGGCCAGAGTGCCGTGGCTCTCAGCAACCTCCAACTCTTGGGCTCAAGCGACCTTGAGTGCGCACAACCGTGAGCGCCTGCAGAGCGCACAGCCTGCACAACCGTGAGCGCCTGCAGAGCGCACAGCATGCACAACCGTGAGCGCCTGCAGAGCGCACCGCCGGCACAACCGTGAGCGCCTGCAGAGCGCACCGCCGGCACAACCGTGAGCGCCTGCAGAGCGCACAGCCTGCACAACCGTGAGCGCCTTGCAGAGCGCACCGCCTGCACAACCGTTGAGCGCCTGCAGACGCGCACGGCGCACAACCGTGAGGCCGCCTGCAGAGCGGCACAGCCTGCACAACCGTCGAGCGCCTGCAGAGCGCAGCAGCCCATGCACAACCTGAGCGCTGCCAGCAGCGCAAAGCCTGCACAACGCGTGAGCGCCTGCCGACGCCGACCGCCGTGCAGACCGTCGAGCGGCTGCCAGAGCGTCACCGCCGGCACAACCGTGAGCGCCTGCAGAGCGCCACAGCCGGCAGCAACCGTTGAGCAGCCTGCGAGCGCGACCCGCCCTGCCAGCAACTGTGAGCGGGCCTGCAACGCACCGCCCCTGCAGCAACCCGTGAGCGCTGCCGAGCGCACAGCCTGCACAACCGTGAGGGCCTGCAGAGCGCACCGCCGGCACAGACGTGAGCGCCTGCAAGAGCGCACCGCCGGCAAACCGTCGAGCGGCCTGCCAGAGGGCACCGCCGGCACACCGTGGACGCCCTGCAGAGCCGGCGACGCGCCGGCACACAACCGTCGAGCGCCTGCAGAGGCCGCGACCCGGCCGGCCACACACCGTGAGCCGCCGCCTGCAGAGCGCACCGCCATGCAACACCGGTAGAAGCGCCTGGCAGAGCGCACAGCCCGGCACCTGGAGTCCCAACCCCAGATCTTGTCAGCCTCCCCAAGTAGCTGGGTGCTACAGGGCATGCGCTACC